GACAGTCGCTGGTACGGCAACGACTACTCCTGCTACTGCAACGACAACGAGAAGTTCAAGAAGAAGTCGTTTAGAGCTCATTTGGTCACGCATTCAATCTCGCCTTTCATCCTTATGTGATCTAAAGAAAAGATTATAATTTTTGATGAAAACTGCAATGACGGAAAACTAATAAAGAAGAAATTCAATTAATATATACTTTTTTTAAATTTAAATTATTTATTTAAGTGAATAAGTCTCATTGAGAAAAATTACTCGAGACAAAGTGCTTCAAGCAGAATTATATAATTCATCTAACAATTTAGAATATATTTTGAATTGTTCAAATCTTCTCACCTCTCCTATTTAATTCCATCTTGTTTTCTTCAGATTTTCTTATGTCTTCATTGTTACGGTAAGACTTCTGCATAAAGTCTGTCTTTCGAATAGGTATAGAGGTTCCTCTTCAGAAACTATCATTGTTCAAGATTCAATTCTAGATTAGAATCAGGTTTATCAGGTTTGGTAGGCGAGCAATTTTCAGTTTCTTGTCATAAGTTGAAATTTTAAGTTTGGCATTTCCTTTTATGATCATGGTTCTTAAAGATGCCTATTATGTTAAAAGAATAGAGTCTTATATTTTGATTTTATCATTATCCTAAATCATTGCATAATAATCTGCTACTCATAATAATATTTAAATTCATTTGCAAACGTGTAGATCAACAGTATTATTTTATGAAGATCAGATATTGGTCATTCCAGTCTCTTCCTCATTATAATTAATACTGAGAAGCAAAATGTTAAACAAATCTAAATGTTCCCTACCTGACTTTTATTTACCTTCCATTTAATCGTTTTGATAACTACATACCACCCACTCAACACTTTTTCCTGTACGGCGTACGGCTATGTATTAATTCAGGGTAATAATAGATAATTTAATGTTAAAAGGAATCTGTACACCTTTAGCAGTGTCATTGCCATAGTAGTGCATCATTGTGTCGATTAAAGACCAAGCTTCTATCATAGAGTACATCAATCATTTGCCTTTTGAAAATCCTCGATTACTTTGCATTATTCAGATACTGTATGTAGTTTCTGGTTGATCAACTTTATATTTATGATTTACTTTACCACAGTTCAGAGGATAATTATTTTAATCATTGCATTGTTCATTTGGATAATTACACTCCGCATTACGAGGGCATGTTAATACCCTTACGCAGTTTTAATTATAATATTTACTGAATATTTTTCCTAAAACTCTTCTTAAAAAATATTCTCTTAACTTCTCTGTAGCCTACAATATCCCGTTACGTGAACATCATAAGCACTTTTAAATATAATACTTGGTAGAATAATAGTAGATCAATCCGATCTATACATAATGATTATAAGATTATTATAAGATACCTCGTAAAAGAAGAAGAGATTAGAAGTTATTTGAAAAGTATTAATATAATTTTAGAATCTTTTCTGTTCCTTAATATTAAGTTCCGTGATAATAAAAAATTCAGATATTCTTATGGTAACAGTTCTTCATTCTCTTTTCCCATATATTTTTCATTTTACTTCAAGCAGAAGAGATCAAAAGATATGATTTTTTTATTAAGAATTGCCTTTTTCTGACTATTGCAAGGAATAATTTTTAAAACTGCTTAATTAATTAATGTAAACTAAAAAAGTAACAATAAATTTTGTTTGCTCATTAAAATTTTATTAGAGTTTTTGGTTTGCAATTTGGTATCACTTAATATTATTAATTACGGCCCCTGCGTCCACCTCTGTTTCCTCCGCGTCCTCCGCGTCCTCCTCTATTTCCTCTGCCTCCTCTGCGTCCACCTCTGCTTCCACCGCGTCCTCCTCTACCACCGCGACCACCACGGCCACCTCTTCCGCCACGCCCACCACGTCCACCGCGACCGCCGCGTCCTCCTCTACCACCTCTGCCGCCTCTATCACCGCGACCACCTCTATGTCCGTGTCTGTGACCTCTGTGTCCATGTTGATGACAATCTGTTTTAGAAGGTTTAGTCGTTACATCCGATGATATGGTTGTGGATGCGCCTGGAGCAACAGTAGTGGCTGCAGTCGTAGTAGCAGATACAGTGGTTGTTGTCGCTGCTGCTGTTGTGGTTGTGGCAGAATCAGTTGTCGAAACTGCTACTGTTGTGGTTGCGGACGGATCAGTGGTTGTAGCGCCAGCAACAGTCGTTGTCTGTGCATTGGTTAATGTAGCCAACAAGGCCAAAAGTACCAAAATGCTTAAACTGAATTTCATGGTGCCGTTGATACAGTTACTATGCCAGTTAGTTGGGTAAGTTCTAATGTCTCTTCATCAAACTCTTCATCAGTTATTTATATGAAAATTCTTCGACATTCAATGTTTGGTCTTCAAATATTTGCTGTTTTTGTATATAATAGATATAAATAATATATTTATTTGATTTTAATATTTGTATCTAATATCTTTTATTTGATTCTTATATGCATTGTTTAGTTAAGTGTTTGCAAACTCTAAAAATACCAAAAAATCTGTTGTCGTTTATTTATTTAACATTTTGTTGAAGTGAGTTTCGTCAATCATATCTTAAATCCACGCTAAATAACTACAAACCTGCTTCAACATTCCACCGAAGAAAATCCAAAACGCTTAGAATGGTAGATATATACAAAGATCTGACGTCGTTTAAAATATGGAAAGGTGAAGGCATTGAATCATGCCTGCTCTTCTGGGGCCGAATTTATTTTCTTGATCTGCAAGGTGGTGGCTTTTATCATCTGTCGTTGTTTAGCGCTATGAAAATCTTTTATTGTCCTGCAGCTTTCGTATTAATCATTTTTTGCCCGGTATTATGTTCTCAGGTGCTCAGGTGACTCAGATTCTTAACCATAGTATCTGCACTAAAGTTTTAATGTAATACTTGTGCTAATCAGCTGTTCATTAAGTCTACTTAGCATGCTAAATCTGTTCTGTGATTACTGTACTTAGCTATTATGGTTACCTAATAATAATTCAGATTATGACAACCCTGCAGGACTCGACATAAATTTCTGCCTCTTTTATATGTCCTAATTCTTCAGCATTTCTTCCTAATAGATTTGTGTTATGTCGCTGTAGGACTAAGGCCCAATCATTGCCATGGGGGCTCCAATTCTGTCGATTTCATTGACTGTATCTGACTGTGCTGGATCTGTATGTTCTAAAACCCAGTGAAAGCTAATTTTGTTGTCTTTGCCTAGTTGATTTAATTTCTGAAGACAACTCCAAGCTAACTTGGAGTCAACCACATACAAGCTGAACGGTCGAATGGCAATTTAATTGCTTGATGATATGGCTGTGTCCCGCTTGTTATCATCGTTGCAAGATTAAACTAAGTACATTTATTGATGGCGCCTATTTCTGCTTGGAATATGTTTACATTTATTCCATTGTGTTCTGCACATTTGATTTTTGATCCAAAAACTTTTGCCACCGTGTTACTTTCGGTTTTTTACCTGCTTTTCTTTTTTTACCTTTCTTTGAAAAATGAAAGTCAAAGCTCTCATTTGATGTCCTTTTAAGCAGTTAATCTGTAGTTCAAGTAATTGTCTAAATAGTTGAGTAGTTTGAGCTGGTAGTTGCAGTAGTTGTATCCTGTCAAAATGCCAATATTATGGACATTACACAAAACGACTGCTGATACTGCATTTCTCCATTTAATCCTTAGAGTCGATTGTTTGGAACAATATGTTGATGAATTTAAAATTAACTGGCCATTGTTCATCTTGTTTAGGACTTCTATGTAGCTAAAGTAAATTAATTCATTTGTTGACACAAATCAATATTGAAGTTATGTATACAAGATATAATATTTTCTTAATGTACGAGTATCAAAATTTGACACAGGTTGGCAGTATACATATTTACTTAAGTGTTTTGCTTTCTATGTGAACTTAAGTGTGAACGACGCAGATGAAATTGTGTGTATTTAGCGAAAAACGTCAATATTGAGTCATTTGTAAATTACTTTATTCGACTAAATTCAATTGTTTTATTTCTATTTGTAAGGTGGATGATATGTCACGCCTCCAACAAAGAAAAGTGTGTAAGAAGTGCTTGCGTCATAACTTCGTAACTTTCCAGACCAAAAAATATTAGATTTGAAAATTAAGATCTCATATCTGCTAAGTTGTATATGGAATCATTCATTTTATTGTCATTGATGATTTTAAAATTGTTTGAAGATCTTAGAAATTACAAGTACTACAGAGTTAAAAAAAATGTCTATAATATATTCTATGGATGATTTATCATATCATTTGTATAATTGTTTCTTCCAACAAATTTTAAATATGAGTACCTTAAATTAATAATTTTTTGTTTAATAATAATTATCCTCTCACAATAAAATAAGACGATATTACTGGGAAGTATACGTAACTGAAAATAATTACTTTCGTTTCTACTGCATGGACTTATATATACTCAAGAAAATCTTTCTAAAATCTTCTTCTTCTTTATCTTATATTTCTCTCTATATCTGTTTACTTCTCCTCATATTTACTTGGGTATGTTGTTTGCAAGGATGAAGTATGCTGAATATATATCCGAAAACGACAGATTATGAAAGAACAAGAGTGCGGCTATAGCGACGTGCCTGCGTTTGAACTCCTTTGCGAGCTCCGATTGTTTCATGTGTAAATTTGTTGCAATTATTTTTGTAGTGTGGATAGGATCTCTTATTATTGGTGACTATACTAAGTATTTTGCTTTAGGTATATTATTATTAATATTATTATTATAATTATTATGTTGAGATAATTTACACAGTGATCTGAAGATTTAATGTGCCCCATTCATGAGATTAAAGTATTTCTTCAAATTCAAGTTCCACTATAAATTGTAGTATATATATAATATATAGTAATATATATTATATTGCATAATATATAATAGTAGTATGCATAATAGAGTTTTATTTTTGTATTTGATATGAGATGGCGTACCCGGTACTTCTTTCATTTATGTATCAGTCTTGCGCAAAATCCAGCATGTGTTTTGAAGTTATATTCTTTCCCTATAAAATCTACAAATTTCATTGGAATAAATTTCTAATATTATAATATGTAAGTACTCCTGTAACGATTCTTAAATTGCTTTAACTTAATTGCATACAATCCTTAAACCACTTTAGGTTAAAAATTATTGTACTCGATCTTTTATATGAAAGCCTTGGAAGTTATTATAGTATGTCTTTTGAATGATTTTAGGTCTACAAGCAAGAAGATTTTTTCTTTTTGTACAAGTTTGTCAGCAACTTCGTTTGGGAAATTCCAGCATCAGCTGGATCTTATAGTATCAATATCTAGTTTCTTTGGCCAAGGATACTGAGCTTTTTGAGACCCCCATTCGCCAATCTTATTGCCACCTGATGCAAATTGAGTGCTTTTATAAGTGCCTGATTATCAGTAGGAATAGCTACTCTATCGTATTGGTAGTTACGTTTCTGGTTAAAGTTATATTATATATTAAAGTTATTTTCAACAAATTTCTTTCTATTAGAAAGAAATTTAATTTTTCAAAATTTTGCATTTGGAAATATGTTACTAAAGAAAAAAGTTTTTTAAATTAATCTTGCCCAAGGTTCTCGGTTCAAGGTATATTTAGTTCATTTAAAATGAGCCAAATTGTGAGATTTTCCATAACATAGATTTATATAACTAGAGACTGATACGTCTATGGTGAATTGTGACCAGAAAGCGTTACCTAATTTAACCTGTGTTACGTTTACTATGAGTAATATTCATCAGATTTATTAAATAAGTGACTTAATTTAAATGAGTCAGCGAGATGATAATATTTCTGGATTTTGCTAAAGAAGTTGCTTCATAGTTTTTTGGCTGATTTCTTTATTGTACTTTTTATTTATTGGTGCATTTTTTTGGAGATTTAAGTCCCGAAATGGTTGCATGTTAGATTTACGTCGCGGATTTTGCCAAGTTTTTCGCTCTGCCACACCCCCTTCCACGGCCCTTTCTTCTAGCACGATCTTCACCTTTCTCTTACCCTTCTCCTCCTCTACCACCACGTCCTCCTCTACCTCCACGTCCTCCTCTACCACCATGTCTATGTCCTCCATGGTGTCTATGTGGACGATCCGGCTTGCATGGTGCCCTTGTGCTTGCTGATGGAGCTTCAGTGGCTGGTACAGCTGTAGTAGGAGTTTCGGTAACAGGTGCAGCAGTAGTATCTGGCGCTGCAGTAGTTTCAGTAGGCGTTTCAGTAGTTGGTGCTTCAGTAGTGGTTGGTGCCTCAGTGCTAGGAGCTGGGGAAGATGTTCCTTCGGCTGAAGTAATGGAAGTAATGGGATCTGTTGAAGCCTGACCATTAGCTTGTAAAGCCAAAAAGGCCAAAGCAGTTAAAATCGTAAGTAAATTTAATTTCATGGCTTGAGAAATTGATTAAATGAGTGCCAAACTAATTCTAACGTTTCAGTGTTGGCTTGAATATATTTATATGGAAACTGTTTGTCGCAGATTTTGTTTTCATTAATATTAAGAAGTAATATCGAAATTTTTCAAATGTTTGCTTAGCTGTGTTTTTTTTTGTTTCATATCAGTATTGACTAAGTAGCTGAAAATAAGAACTACGTACTAAGTCTAAACAAATTTTTTTATTTATTTAAATAGAATTGCGTAAAATGATTATTAAGAACTTACGTTTTAAATAAAATATTATTCTTAAGTGACGAACTTCATCAATAAGTATAAAGAAATAAAAT